GGGGGATCTTGATCAAACACTACCATCTACGATAAACCCCTACTTGAGACCCCATATTTCCAGGTCTTGCTTAAAAGATGTTCTTGACAAGGCAGTCACTTACTTTTGCATTCAGAAATTTGTCATGTCCCAGTGTCCACAGGTGACTCAGCACCATGATGAGAGGGTGTCCCATGCAAAACACCAAAGCTTCCACCTTAGTAGCACCTTTCAGTGCAGCGGTTTTGTTGACCATTTGCAAGTCATTCAACTAAAACAGGTTATTTTTGGTGGTGGAATGTGGCCATTGTTAAAGGGTCTTGCCTTTGGCTGTGATTGGTTGACGACCGACCAGTGACCAACGCGTTAGGGCGGAATTATTATCACTCCACTTGAACCACATTAATTCACGCACCAGAAAGGATAGAACGACTTTCGGTATCTACTAGTGAGCCTGGACCAAATATCTTACTAGCGCATCATATTGTTAGTCAGATAACCATCAACGGCTTTCTGCAATAGTCCAATTGTGTATCTGCATGTTATTGCTGGGTATTTATTCAATTACTCAATCATTCATCTCCGCCAAAGAGAAGTCCTCCGTCTGTTGCATCTCTTCTCTATCTATCAGCACTTTTTTATCCATTCATTCAATTACCTTCCTTTCCTCCATTCAGGTTTACTTCTTGCCAATTCTTCTCAACCCGTCTGAGGTAGTCAAAATTTACTCCTTTTTATCTACCCGTTGATGTCACAATTTCATAGGTGCAATTCATCTACAGATAAGCAAAAGCCACGCTCTTGATGACCCAGTCAATCAGATCAATGGGAATTTGCAGTTTATGCTATCTCTTGAGGCAATGGGAACACTCACTTGCGAGGAGGCAAGATGTTGTGTTCTCAGGGGTAGCGTAAACCACCCATCCACTACCCGAAAATAGGAACGGGGTAGTGGCAGCTATTGTGAACCACATTGGTTCAAGTTCAGATCTCAGCAAATTGTGGCTTTGGAATGGAGGAAATGTGGTGACGTGCGCAATTTAACACCCCTCCGGCTTTTAGTTGGATTTGAAAGGAGCCCAGTTCCAAAATCCTTGGTAAATAAAGAGCTATATCAAAATCAACGCAACGCATATTGTTTTGCCGCAAATGCCTAGGGCACAAGTCTCATGGCTCCTCAACACTATCTCCGTCGATGGGGAATAAGCCACTTTGACATGTACACTTCAATGTAGCTTCCAGTGCTTCGAGCGCAAACATATCAGAAAAAAGCCTTTAAATCACACACTTAAATTAATAGCGCTGCAATTTTGGCATCAGTCTCTGTAATAGGTTCTCTTTGTGCCGTCAATTATTGTAAATTGATACTATGAGTGCAATTGTCCCCAACTACATAATGGATAGATGAGGACTTTGGGGTGTGTGAACCAACATGAAGACGCGGCGTGGGCGCATGCGCCTATCGGGTGGCTAGTAGAAACCGCTTAAGTGTGTGCATGAAGGTCAGTTAGTCAGTCAACTAAGTGACAAGTGTTTGCTCCGACTGATTGGTTTTGGACTTATGGTAAATATTAGTGCATTTAAAGTTCAGATAACGTGATCTGAGCTGATTAGGAGGGAATGAGCGAGAGGCGGTTTCCAAATCGTTTGCGAAAACAATCACAAAAACGCCAGAAGACATAGAAGCTTGGACAGGGGAGTTTTGTGAATTTTCTAGCGACCTCAATGAAGATGAGTTTACCAAGATAAAGGGAGGTTGGTTGGAGTTTGTTCGACGATAGTGGCTGTCTCCTTCGAAGCGCATCCACCTCCTCTTTGTCCAGGCGCACGTAGCTGGGACTGAGACCGGTGTTCTGGAAGAAGTCCATGACCAGTCTAGTAAGAGACAGGTAATTTATGCGGAAAGAGGACGCATTTATCCTCTCAAGATATACTATGACCACATGAATGCAGAGGCGTTTTGGTTAACCACTGAATGAAATTGGAAACGCTTAAAATTCGACTGAGCAGTTTTCCTCTGTTACAGTTGATCGAGTTGAATCGAAGGTTACGAATGCACTATTGCGCCAAAAGACTCGCGAAGCCAAACTATGTAAGGCTGCATTACCCATCTTTTCATTGGAGGAGGAGCATAGTTGACCGAAGCGAAGGAGTATCAACGGAGATGACAGCGCCACTCACTAAGGTTAATCATACATGGTACGTTGTACGGTTAAAACAGGTTGAGCATGGGGTGTTAAATAATTTGTGATTGGTAACTTCATTG